TTTTCATTTGTCCATTTTTAGATAGCAAGCAACTTGATGATATTTATCCATATTGATGAAGACTTGGCTTGAGGTTATGTGTATAACCATTAAAATATTAAAAAGATTAAACAAAATGGGTAAATTGCAGAGAACATCAATGATCAATTAGTTCTACTAAATGGCATACCAAAGGGATGCTCATACTTCTCATTGGAGTTGATAATCTTAAAATTGCAAGGTACTTAAGAAAAGTTTTGATTGGTTCTTGATAATGTTTTTCTTATATTCAAGTTAATACTTTATCCTTTTCATCATAGTGAATTTGTTCTCTAACCAGTACCTGCATAATGCTTATATTTTGTATCAATGACCATGTAAATGAATCTTGTAACAAGGTATGCATAATTTATATTCTTAGCATCCTTAAAAATATTTTTTCTTCACTTAGTTTTTATGGAATTATTTGCAAAACATGACATCATGACATATAAATGATCATATCTTGCCCATTAATCTAATGAAGGTACAAATATATCTCGAGATAACATCATACGATCCGCATTAGGACTTGTAACTATCAGTTAAAATTTGTTCTATGACCTCTACCCCAGAAGCATGATGATTTTCTCAGATTAATGGAAATATTTTCCTTAATTGAGCCAATGTTTGCTGCAGTGTTCATTTGGTGGAATTAAAAGGTACTGGTCTGCTGTTCGCTATGAAGGCAATGGATAAATCTATTATTCTCAATCGTAACAAGGTAGTATGTGTTTAGCGAATTTTTAATATTTTTCTATCATCTGAGGCATAACTTCATGTTATACTCTATTGCTTATAGCATCATAACGACGGATTCTGGACAGAAACTGACCTACATTTAAACGCTTTTTCCTCACTATTGTGCATTAAGTTTTTGTTTGGGAAAGCTTCAAAAGTTGCTAATAAGTTAAAGTTAAAGTCAAAGTCAATAATTAATTTTGACTGTACATTTCATAAGATCCATAAAAGTAACCTTCAACGAAACATTTCATCAACCTCTGTCAAATCTGCTAAAACTTTTATTAAAAGCTTTGTCAAACAACCCCTAAATTATGCCATTATTATGAGCCAGCTAAAAATTTTCTTCTACACGATAGGGTATTTATTAGTAACACAAAGAAAGATTGGACTGGTACGTAAAGGATCCTATAAATTTATAGTGTCAGTAATTCCTTTTTTCCCCTCAAAGATACTAGAGCGTATCAGCTAGATGAAAAATAAATTATTGCATTAAAATTAGTAATAGAGATAGTTTTGTTTGAAAATAAAGTGACAAGGATTATATACAAAGGTATATTTCTGTGCCAGATGATATTAGTAAATATGTTTTGTTCAAACCCTTCAGTGGGTCTTCATCTAATGAAGCTGTTGACAACTTCTACTTTCCTGAGGTAGAGTAGCTATAAATGTTATCTACTATATCACTTTTATTGACAATTTTTTGCATTTCAACATATTCATTTCTGATTTGGTTCTACTTCAGAAATCTGAGTCTGTAAAAAATCATCTCGATCCCTCATTAGTCATGCATGAAATAGAATATTAACATTATTAAGCAATTTGCAGGTTCATCGAGCATGCATTGAAAGAGAAATTATGTCGCTTCTAGATCATCCATTTCTTCCCACACTCTACACCTCGTTTCAGGTTCTCGTTTCTTGTGGTTCATCTCATCTTCATTAATAGAATATTTATATTGAATCTGTTTCACATAAACTAATTTATTCCTACTCAGATTTAGTCGTATTCTGGCTTTTTTTTTTTTTTTTTTTTGTGGTTGGGGGGGGGGGGGTGTTATGAAACACAATGTCCCTTTTGTCTATCCATGAATTGAGTTGTTGGTTGATTCTTTTTTAAGTTCTAGATATAGTAGAGGGTTGTAATGTTGTCCAAAGGTCATAAATTAAGTCAAATTATTTATATGGACTCTTTATTAGTATACAAACATCTTAACATATAAAACTATGTTTTGCAGTCTCAGTCCTAAAAGAGCGAAGACAACTCCAAAAGTATGGATATGCACAGCCATTAAAAATATTCATAATATTAGAATGACGGAATGTGTACTGTAGAACCATATTTCTTTTGCATTTTTTAAGTTTAAAAAGCTTGTTATTCATTCTATATGATGTTTCAGAATTTGAAATCCACAACAAAAATGAAAGTATGCTACTTTCATACTTTCATCTAGCGGACCAGTGTAATAACATAGAAGTTTGTTTATGCTAGAAAATAACTTAGAAAAACGGATGAAAAATAACATTTAGTTAATCATGTTGCAGTTATTTACGTCAGTAATATTTTTGAGGAAGAAATGATACCTGCATTTTCTTAAATAAGTTGAATCTTGACTTGCGTGAGTGTCATGATTTTACTCAATATTCCGTCCTAGTCGAAGAGGCTTGCCTTTAAATGGTATCTGATTTTTGGTGGTTGCATATCAGTATTATTATTTTTGTGTGAAACTCTCCATACACAGTTCAAGTTCTCATCTGACGTCGCTTTGTACTCCCAGACGCCTACACATGTTTGCTTGATAACAGATTTTTGTCCTGGAGGAGAGTTATTCGCAGTGCTTGACAAACAGCCCTTGAAGTTATTTAAAGAGGAATCAGCAAGGTATTCCATTGTAAACCTCTATTAATTGCAGCAAACAATTTCAGTTATCACCCTTATACGTTTGATGTTCACCTTAAATCAATCACAATTATATTCAAGAAACCAGGACTTTATGCCTCCAGTTCCCTTCATGCTAGTGTAATTGAATTTTGACTCCTGATATTATCCAACATGCCAAAAACTTCATTGTTTAATTACTATTACAAATAGAAATATCTAAAAACTAGAATAAGTATATTCTTTATTCAATTATATCTTGTCCTTAGTTTGAATAAGTCAATGTTTCTTTCGATGAATAATCTCCAAGCTATTGATTGCTTCATTTTAAAATTAAAGAGAAAAAATGCTTGGTTTTGAACCGTGTTAAACTCTGTCAAGTATAAATTCATCGATGGTTAAGTTATATGTTGTGGGCTCAAGTCCATGTCTAATTTAATCCATTATAATCAAAAATCTTGTTAGATATTCACTTGTCAAGTTTAATTACCATTAAATTTTCAACGCTGTGTCATTTCTTTCCAGGTTTTATGCTGCAGAGGTTGTCATTGGCTTGGAATATCTTCACTGCTTAGGTATCTCATGTAGCTGATAACTTCGTAGATAAATTTGCTCTTGCCGCACTATGTTGGTTTGCATGAGCATAATTTATACCTTTTTTTTTCCTTTGAACAATTTCAGAAGTTAACACTCTTAAGTTCAAGTTCTTGTTTGGTTATGCATTCTAGCTTCTGGTTTTCTTTAAAAAATATATTTACACAGAAATAAAATGAGCCATTAAAAAGGAAAAATCCTATTAAGAAAGAGTCACTGCGTCATATCATCTTGTTATTGTTTCAAAGCTAGCATGTCAATAAAAATTTCTCAATTCAAAGTTTTGATTTTGAAAGAAGCACTTGGAAAATCGTTAATAAACTATTGTTTAGAAGCAAGGAGTTTCATTTCCTCACATGCAAGCATTAATATTCTTTTTTGGTTCTCTATTCTCATATCACAGGAATAATATACCGGGACCTGAAACCCGAAAATATTCTACTTCAAAATGATGGGCACATCGTATTAACTGACTTCGACCTATCATTTAAGACAGCTTGTGATCCTCAAGTATGCCAGTTTTCTTGCGAGAATATATTCGCTCTATTACATTTTCAGAATTCTATATGTTTGTTTCCTCTATGTTGGTCCACAGTAATCATAACTCATAAATTTCTACCAGTTTTTTGTTTTGTGTTCTACATAAGATCATGTTCTCCAGTTCGCAGCTTGAGTTTTGTTTTCTCAAATGGTTTTTGTCCACTGTACGACAAATCTATTCATACTTCTTTAGTTTTGGGATCCACAACTTTGAGCTTATATTTCCATGCTCTTTCTGAAATCCCTTGTGGTATTGTAAACAAAGACAAGTTTATGGACACAAGTTTTTAAAAATTCGATACACAATCGATTCATGAAAGGCAGATTAATATTGGTTTTATTGCTACTAGTTTTTATTGAAAAATTTCCCTTACTAATTGCAAAAACTATTATGAATGTTATAATGCACAAAATAAAAATAATGGAATGTCTTGTGTGGTAAATTCTGTAATTTTTCAAATCATTGCTTATTAGATTCTAGGATCAATCAATTCTCAATTGCTTTTTTCCAACTAAAATTAAACAAATTTTCTTAGATTTTAAGGCATCCTCCACCAAAGAGTAGAAGATCAAGGAGTCAACCACCTCCGGTATTCGTTGCAGAACCAAAGATGCTATCAAATTCATTCGTTGGAACTGAAGAATACATTGCACCGGTATGGTTTATTTTAGTTTCTATAGTGATATAGTTGCTCCTCTTAATTACTTATTAGCAAACAAAATAATTGTTCAGGGGCATTATCTTCTGCATTTAAAATTGAAGACATCAGTCAATAAGAACAAGTCATACCCCATAAGAGAAGTTGCTAAGGAAAAAATATAAATGAATAGATCTTATCATTATGCTTGTCTAGATGATTTTTATACACTATCCTTAACTGAGGACTTTGATGTACCTTTATGGGATAAATATGATCAGAATGGAGATCAAGGCCTGACACTACCTGAGAGCTCATATTATAAAAGGGAAACACACGCTAATAAGTTGAATTAGAGAAAAGATTTATACCAAATAAGCTTCATATTGCTTATTAGATTCTAGGATCAATCAATTCTCAATTGCCTTTTTCCTACTAAAATTAAACAAATTTTCTTAGATTTTAAGGCATCCTCCACCAAGGAGTAGAAGATCAAGGAGTCAACCAACTCCGGTATTCGTTGCAGAACCAAAGATGCTATCAAATTCATTTGTTGGAACTGAAGAATACATTGCACCGGTATGGTTTATTTTAGTTTCTATAGTGATATAGTTGCTCCTCTTAATTACTTATTAGCAAACAAAATAATTGTTCAGGGGCATTATCTTCTGCAATTAAAATTGAAGACATCAGTCAATAAGAACAAGTCATACCCCATAAGAGAAGTTGCTAAAGAAAAAATATAAATGAATTGATCTTATAATTATGCTCGTCTAGATGATTTTTATACACTATCCTTAACTGAGGACTTTGATGTACCTTTATGGGATAAATATGATCAGAATGGAGATCAAGGCCTGACACTACCTGAGAGCTCATATTATAAAAGGGAAACACACGCTAATAAGTTGAATTAGAGAAAAGATTTATACCAAATAAGCTTCATATTAGCTACATGAATCTACTTTTGCCGGATTTATGAGTGAGTTGAGTGCAGTATACTGAGAAATGATAAATGTGCCTGAAGAACAATTGTTATTTTTTTGCCCAGAGTTTCTATGTTTATTAAATGCAAAAGACAGAAAAAAAAAAAGAAGAAAAAAAATAGAAAATTATTTATACCATTAAACTGTCCATAACTCTTGAAGATACCTATTTACCTATTGGTGGATTCATTTCAGGAAATTATAACTGGCGAGGGTCACAGTAGTGCTATTGATTGGTGGTCTCTTGGTAAGCATATGGAAATGAATATCTCCTGAATTTAGTTAGAAACTGTATACTTGATTATTCTTTCTCATCAACTATGAGTTACAGACTTTATTATATAGAAACCGAATACTTGTAAATTCATTTTAGGTCAGTCACACTCCTACAAGACGTGCCTTGCTGATTTTCATATTCAAACTATAAATTGTGTCCCTAGTATTAAAATATAAATTGTAGAATGAATACATTGAATCAGTTCAAGCTCGGAATCAGTATAGATGTACAAATGATAGCAGAAATTGCAAGGAACCCATGAAAATTTTAGCATTGCAATTATGTATAAATTTCAGAATCAGTGCTATGTGGTTACAGTTTTCATCTTCAAACTAGTGCTCGAGGAGGTCTTCGATTCTTTCTCCCGCAGAAGAAAAAATATAGAGTTCACAAGACTATTTTGCATGGCTGAATGTTTCCTTTATACTTAGTCATCAAGGATATGCGATTTATCTATAATTTCTTACTTTTCTGGTCTCTCCATCACTTGGTATTTGAATTCAGGAATTTTGTTGTATGAAATGCTTTACGGCCGGACACCATTCAGGGGAAAGAATAGGCGGAAGACATTTGCCAACATCTTGCACAAAGACGTCACCTTCCCAAGCGGCATTCCGGTAAAATCATGTACTCTGACAAGCATAGTTGTTAAAATAATGTCGAGTTGCTCACCTCTTTTGGTTTCCATAACCGTTTTTCACTGTATTTAAGTATATCAGTAACTCTTATGGATTAAAATCAACACACTTCAATACATCAGTCTAGTTAATGGTACAGTAAGTTAATAACCTCCCACTTGCTTAGAAATCTAGCCTGTTGATGTCCAATCTGCCCTTAATATGAATGCGGAAAAATAATGGCAGCAAGAGAATCTACCGGCAGATGGCCTAATTGGGATCTAAATCATAAAACGTTGAGTAGCCATTTGCCTGACCATACGAGTATAAACAGAACTTAGTAGAAATTATAGCGGGAAGATACTATTTCCACTAGAAAATCTCTTTGCTGAAGATTATATTTATGTTTTGAGAAAAACGAAATTAAGAAACAAACTTAATTTAGATGCTAAATATATTTTATTGAAGAATTCAATCTGTACTTTCATTCAATTTTTTTCCTGCTAGGTAAATTGATAAAGTTGGATTGGAATATTATTTACTTCAACCAAGAAATCATAAGCTATTGAAGCAACGAAAATCATTCTAAAAGCGAGGAAAATTAATCATGTGCACACCCGAATTGTATGAACCAGCATAATGAAATCATAAGCTATTGAAGCAACGAAAATCATTCTAAAAGAAAGGAAAATTAATCATGTGCACACCCGAATTGTATGAACTAGCATAATGCCATTTGTGCTGTCATCAAAGATTTTTAATATAAAGAGATTGCAGGTAACGCTTGCAGCGAGGCAGTTGATAAATGGATTGCTAAATCGAGATCCTGCTAGTCGATTAGGATCTAATGGAGGTGCAAATGAGATCAAACAGCACCCTTTCTTTCGTGGAATTAATTGGCCTCTGATTCGTTGCATGGTACTAACTTTCAACTTGTTATTTAACAAAAACTGCTCTTAAAACTTTTACTGGAACCTATTTCAGAAGTCACTTACCTGTGCTTTTCATGCAGACTCCACCACCATTAGACGTCAACGTGCCTCTTCAATTGATTGGAAAAGAAGCCAATGCAAAAGATGTCGACTGGGACGAGGAAGAGGTGCTTGTCCAGCCCAGCGACTGCCCGTCTGGAAGCAATTCTTAAGTAATTATAATTAATTTTTTGCCGCAACTTTTGACTTAATTTACTCTATAAAAAAAGGCAGAAATTAATAAATATATATATATATATATTACTCCATCACAGTTACTATTCTTGAAAGGCAAACTCCGATAATAGTGTCTATAAAAAAATTGATTATGATAACTTACAAATTGCTTCCGAACAAGGTCATTATGCTGTATGCTCATGTAAAGAAAGGAACGCAACTCTTCGACTCTTTAAATTTGGGTTCACAAGACGGGACCCGCTTGGCTCGACGGGATCATTTTCACATGTTTGTACAGGAGAACAATAAATCGTCATCTTCTCAGGGCAGTTCC